GTTGTTTTCTTCTGACTTTAAGTGAACGAAAAGACACAAATTCGCCTGTTTTCTCATCGAAAATTGTTAAATTTCAAAGTATCACTCCTGGTCACAAAAGCAAAGTTTGTGGGAAATAATAGACATTTTCTATACTTTTGAGGCATAAGCAATTTGGAAATAACAATTACATACCCAGGAAAAAAAATTGTGTTACATACAGTGAGGGAAGAAAGCATTTGATCCTCTGCTGATTTTGTACGTTTGCCCACTGACAAAGAAATGATCAGTCTATATTTGAACAGTGAGAGACAGAATAACAACAAAAGAATCCAGAAAAACGCATGTCAAAAATGTTATAAATTGATTTGCATTTTAATGAGGGAAATAAGTATTTGACCCCTCTGCAAAAGATGACTTAGTACTTGGTGGCAAAACCCTTGTTGGCAATCACAGAGGTCAGACATTTCTTGTAGTTGGCCACCAGGTTTGCACACATCTCAGGAGGGATTTGTCCCACTCCTCTTTGCAGATCTTCTTCAAGTCATTTAGGTTTCGAGGCTGACGTTTGGCAACTCGAATCTTCATCTCCCTGCACAGATTTTCATGGGATTAAGGTCTGGAGACTGGCTAGGCCACTCAAGGACCTTAATGTGCTTCTTCTTGAGCCACTCCATTGTTGCCTTGGACGTGTGTTTTTGGTCATTGTCATCCTGGAATACCCATCCACGACCCATTTTCAATGCCCTGGCTGAGGGCAGGAGGTTCTCACCCAAGATTTGACGGTACATGGGCCCGTCGATCGTCCCATTGATGCGGTGAAGTTGTCCTGTCCCCTTAACAGAAAAACACCCCCAAAGCATAATGTTTCCACCTCCATGTTTGACGGTGGGGATGGTGTTCTTGGGGTCATAGGCAGCCTTCCTCCTCCTCCAAACACGGCCAGTTGAGTTGATACCAAAGAGCTCCATATTGGTCTCATCTGACCACAACACTTTCACCCAGTTGTCCTCTGAATCGTTCAGATGTTCATTGGCAAACTTCAGACGGGCATGTATATGTGCTTTCTTGAGCAGGGGGACCTTGCGGGCGCTGCAGGATTTCAGTCCTTCACGGCGTAGTGTGTTCCCAATTGTTTTCTTGGTGACTATGGTTCCAGCTGCCTTGAGATCATTGACAAGATCCTCCCGTGTAGTTCTGGGCTGATTTCTCACCGTTCTCATGATCATTGCAACTCCACGAGGTGAGATCTTGAATGGAGCTTCAGGCCGAGGGAGATTGACAGTTCCTTTGTGTTTCTTCCATTTGCGAATAATCGCACCAACTGTTGTCACCTTCTCACCAATCTGCTTGGCAATGGTCTTGTAGCCCATTCCAGCCTTGTGTAGGTCTACAATCTTGTCCCTGTCATCCTTGGAGAGCTCTTTCTGTCGTGGCCATGGTGGAGAGTTTGGAATCTGATTGATTGATTGCTTCTGTGGACAGGTGTCTTTTATACAGGTGACAAGCTGAGATTTGGAGCACTCCCTTTAAGAGCGTGCTCCTAATCTCAGCTCGTTACCTGTATAAAAGACACCTGGGAGCCAGAAATCTTTCTGATTGAGAGGGGGTCAAATACTTATTTCCCTCATAAAAATGCCAATCAATTTATAACATTTTTGACATGCGTTTTTCTGGATTTTTTTGTTGTTATTCTTTCTCTCACTGTTCAAATAAACCTACCAATAAAATTATAGACTGATCATTTCTTTGTCAGTGGGAAAACGTACAAAATCAGCAGGGGATCAAATACTTTTTTTCCCTCACTGTAGTATTATTTATTATTTCCCCAAAACATAGAAATGTTGAGAGTGGTTGGGATCTTTTTTACACAAAGAAGCATGAAATTTGATTTATCTCCACATAATTGGTATAATATTTTAAATCCACATCATTTGGACCAACTACACTGTTTGTAAAATGCACATTGAACATCTGGTTGCTATTTGTTCAACGGTTTTTTTTCACAATATGGCCAAAATATGGACTGCCATAAACAGCCAGGCGCTTACACTTAATTCTAAGAGGCTGTTTCTGGGAATTTGACTCACGAACAGAGATTCGATGTTCCAAAAAATATATATTTTTTAAAATGGACAAACATTTCACGAGGCTGTGAATGTAAGTAGGTCACATTTTCGATAGAAAATACATCTTCCATGTATGTTTTTGTAATATAGGAATGTAGGGGGTCCAGTTTCAAAAGCTTACACCCCCCCACCCACTTGGGAAGTTTCTAGATCTGCCTGGGGTGTGTAAACATCAGCACTGGGGAAGTAAAGTTGGTGAAGCACAGTGCTGACCATACTTCGTGAACTACTCCGGCCTTAGTGGATAGGTTCAGAGCTGTATGCACGTATGTTGAACTTCTTTCGCACCGTACATAGCCAACCACGCTGAGCGGAGGTGGGCCACGGTGATCAATCTTTCTCAGATTGTCGCTGGGATCAAAATGCAGTGCGCTAACTGCAGCGCCACCCATGCCCCTTACATTGCAATATCTGACAATACTTTTTGAGATATACAACAACAACAAAACGTGGTGAAGGTTTGAGTGCAGGGTCACAGAGAGCACAGTGTATTCCAGGGTGATTACCAACTTGCTAATCCCCCTAATCTCTCTGCCTAATCTCTCCCATCAACATAGTGCTAATCTCCCATTAACACTTTTGTTTGTGCGCATATGCGGGGACGATACTCTTATGCGGCGATGGAAGCTCATTTCATGCTAATCTCTCTCCCTAATATCTCTCTCCCTAATCTCCCCCATTAACACAACTGACGTGCTTGCATCCGGGGATGGAATTCCTTTCCAGCTCAGACCCCGCCTGCTATCCCAGAGTGGGAATGAGACAGAGACATCTATAACCTCTTGTTGTAAACAGCTCTCTCGCTGTGCTCTTCCTGGTTCAGCGGTTCCACTGCTGGATATTTTTTCCACCTGAGGGCGACCGCTTGTGTTGCGATTGAAACGTCATGATATATTATTTTTATTTTATTTTTCTACCTACGTGAAATTACTGAAATAACCAAAGAGAATGGATTCCTGCAGTCACGAAAGCTTCAAATCAAGAATGATTACCATATGTTTTTTACAGTGCCAGCAATGAAATTCGTCAGATCAAAAATTAATGACCCGCTGTAGCATTGTGTTTTTCTGCCTGCACATTTTTAGGAACCTGAATTCACCATTATTGTTTTTTGTGCACACAATTAAAGACAATAACCGAGTAACAATTAAACAAATCTCGTTTTCACTGCCGTACGGTTTCTAAATGCATACGGGTATTAAGAGTAAATAGTATAACCAATAAACAGTTTCGAGAATAATCAGTATCAAGAATAACCAGTATAAAAGGTAAAATGTGCAGTCCTCTGCAATTGCTTGTCCACGCAGAAGAGTCCCCATTGGCGGGCGTTCTCGAAAGATCCTCCACACTGACCATACGTGTTAGAAGAGGTGGGAGTACCCACACTTTATCCCACCCAGACGCAACCTGCCCAATCAACTAACTTGCGGCGAACGCATCTACACCGCAGGGTGGACATTTAAGAAACTTGTCCCAAATGTTCCAAGCTGCTGCACCGGGGCGATCCAACCGATTGACCTCTGGTCAAGTCCAGTGTGCTGACCATTACACCGCACGACACCCCACAACGGTATAAGGAAGGCAATTGAGCACATTAAGTTAAAGGAGGCCTTGTGTGTGTGTGTTGCTATTATTGGAGCTGCCTTAACTTGTCCTGTTGCGTCACATCTTGCTCAGTTACTTGATTACGTGTTGCACTGTGTTTAAGCTGCCATCATTCTCATTGTGCTTGAAATATAGTTATACTGTTTAGATAGAGATGTATTAAGGACCCATTGAAAGTATCATCAAACACACATTACGATGTTCCTATTCCTGCAAAATAAGTGATCACAAATGTAACCCTAAGGTGAGTGTGATTGACCAGATGTCATATATCATAACATCTGCAGACCTCATTGTTCCAAAAATCATACTTGAACTCCAACCATTAATTATAATTGTTTAGATTGAATTATAGTCCTATACACCTATATCCAAAATAATGTTTTATTAACACCAGCTTAATGCTAATAGTGATCATGCTGCAATAAGAACAAAAATAATCCCAGTTATTAATCCAGAAGAGCTCATCTTCAGAAGCCTCCTGCATTGCTATGTTTTGTTCATTTCCAGTGACGAGTGTTTGGCAGCTTCACGTAGGAAGAAAGCAGAGTCCGGCAATTCCCCATTTAACGTGCGGTGTTCCCACGAGAGCTCGTTGTCGCTACAACGTGATTCGTACACTCGGCAACAACGCGCATCTCGACAGCGCGGTCCCTTGAGTGGTCGATGACGAACTGCTTTCTTGAGCGGTAGAATGATCCAGTACGTGGAATTATACAGTGCAATGATACAGTACGTGTGCGGTATACCCTCATTTCGGTAATTTGTCCCACCAATGGGATGACTGCAGGCTGATGTTCCAGTCCAAATGTGATTCAGTACCAGTAATTCCTCACTTAACGTGGTTTTCGCTCAACGCAGCACTTTTCGTGAACGCATCTACCGCGTTAAACGAGTAGTTGCCGTACGTGGAGAATATCCATGCATTGTGATGGGTCGACACTCAGAACTTCCATCTCCGGAGCAAAATACCGTTACCCGGCATAGAGATGCGGATATTAGCACCACACAAAACGAATTTGAGTATGAAGACACTTTTGCTCGATTCACAGACATTCTTGAGGTCGAAACAATACAAATGCGAATGTACGTGATTGTTTTGCAAGATCATTGGCTTTTATTTACTTCACATTAATAATATTGTATTTTGTGTATTAGCTCTTGCTGCTGCTAACGCCGTGTCTGTCTGCGGGCCGAGCCACCCTTGAAAAAGAGCTGCATCAGCTCAACGAGTTATCTACTCGGATAATAAACTTCTGATTCTGACCTTCTGACAATAACGGAGATCTTTCTTGTTGTACAGCAACAACGTGAACAGAATTAATCTCGGCTGGTTCCCGCCTGGCTGTATTCAGCACGGCAATTAATAATGAAATCAGCGCCATGCAATGAAAAACTCCCATCTATTCCCGGCAATGAACGCACGTGGCGAAAGTGGTCCATTGCTTCACAGCTCAGAGCAGTCTCGCGTCATGAACTACTGCTCTCTGTGCGCACCGTCTGCCGGCACGACCCTCTCGTGGAACGCGCGCGCGCGCGCACGTACGCGCGCACACGCGCGCGGCAGCGCTCCGTTTCATTGAGCCACCAAGTATCTGTCCGTCGTGGCAACAGTTGGCAGGAGAGGCTGGCGAGCTCACAACGCGCCGTCGCACGGTCTGGCGCAGCGCTATTAAAGCAGCGATGCGTCGGGGTGGCTGAAGTCGTTGAGTGCGAGAGGAGGTCACCAACCGTCCCGGGGTTTATCGGTCGAGTGCGCGTTTGTGGGTTTTTTTTTTGCGTAAAATCAAAGGTTGCGCAGTTGCTCACTGAATAGAGCCCCGGTTAAAGCAGGCATTGCTTCACTGCCTCGCCTGACACGCACACAAGACACTGAATACGCGGAACAGGACACATCGCATGCTGCCCAGGATAGCCTGCTGCCTTATCGACAACTGAGCAAGTCCATCTGAAGGATGCAATGCAGTTTGGATGGACGCTATATCGGCACAACCATCATCAGCCTCTGCCAATCCACTGCTGGATGAAGGTGTTCCCACGGCGTCGTCCATCCCTCACCGGTGCAGCTGCACGCGAACCGATCGTGTCGCTCCGACTCCGCTGCGAATGCGCTCCAAGAGACGCGTCTACAGCTTGCGTCTAGATGCCAAGCGCTGTAAGAGAGTCATGAGGGCTCATTACTCAGCAGTCGAGAAGGGAATCGCGGATGAACAATTGCGCGTCTTTGCCCCCGGCGACTCTGATGCTGCTACTACAACCGATGATGACACTGCTGGTGCTGCTGATGGTGCTGCTGCTGCTGCAGAAAATGATGATGGTGATCAACAGCACGTGCCCAGTGGGCACGTGCTGTCTCGTCTCGGCGTGGCCACGGGCGGAGTGGAAGAGTCGTGCCACCGCTGCGTCCTGCCTCTCGCGCTCGTCCTGCTGCTGGTCGGAGCGGTGGTCACCGCCCTAGGGTGCCATGCGGACGGGCCCACCTCCGTGATGGGTCTGTTCGGCGTGGCCCTCATGATCCTCGCGGGGTTCATGCTGGCGACGGGAGCAATCAGCTGGTGCTGGCGACGTGGAGGCGGCAGAGCCGCTCAGCCAGCGGAGCGACTGAGACATGTGCGCTGCTGATGGATGATCCCGATGGCTGGACGGTCAGTGGTGGTGCCAAGACCACATTCATTGGGGGAGTCCGAAGCAGACCATTATCTTTGTGGTCCACCCTCCTGTTTAACGTTTACATCCCTCGTGAAGCGACAAGAGATACAGACACGGGATCGGTGTAGTGAGATAAGAGAAATGTTGACAAATATACGGATGCAGCGAGATGAGAATCGCAACGCAGACGAGCTATGAATTGGCGTTTTTTTAAAATTCTAACTGACATTTGATGCTTCAGCCCCGCGCCGACCGCCCGCCTCAGCTCTGACTCTCGGGTGAGGTGAATGCGGGAGGTGAGGGGCACGAGGTGGCCAAGCGATTCGGGATATTTAAGCGTGGTCGGAGTTAGACCGATAAGAGAGGTGAGTAGGTTTGGGCAGGACACGTCGCTAGAACGGATTTTGGTGATGATGATGATGATGATAATCGATGATCGATAATTATTACGGTGGCACTTATCAGCGTGGTGAAGTATTGCCAAATTACCACCATGATCTGTAAGGCGTGAGGAGGGAACGGACAAAATAATGATGGTTAATGAGGTTGTGCCATGGGGTGTGTATTTAATTGCTCTGTGTACGTGCAGTATGTCATTGCGATGTGTTACTACAATGCTCGGCGGGTTACTGAGGTAGTGAATCGTGGAATGTGCGTTCACTCATTTCTTAATGGTCTTAATGCAACGTGTGCTTGATTATAAATAGGTTAACATGGCAGAGGTGCAGCCCTGCAATTTCACACTCACGCCGCTGCTGGTGAAAGTACATACAGTGAGGGAAAAAAGTATTTGATCCCCTGATGATTTTGTACGTTTGCCCACTGACAAAGAAATGATCAGTCTATAATTATAATTTTATATATTATAAAAAATTATAATTTATAATTTTCTTATAAATTATAAATTATAATTTTATTGGTAGGTTTATTTGAACAGTGAGAGACAGAATAACAACAACAAAAATTCCAGAAAAACGCATGTCAAAAATTTTATAAATTGATTTGCATTTTAATGAGGGAAATAATTATTTGACCCCCTCTCAATCAGAAAGATTTCTGGCTCGCAGGTGTCTTTTATACAGGAAACGAGCTGAGATTAGGAGCACACTCTTAAAGGGAGTGCTCGTAATCTCAGCTTGTCACCTGTATAAAAGACACCTGTCCACAGAAGCAATCAATCAATCAGATTCCAAACTCTCCACCATGGCCAAAATCAAAGAGCTCTCCAAGGATAACAGGGACAAGATTGTAGACCTACACAAGGCTGGAATGGGCTACAAGACCATTGCCAAGCAGCTTGGTGAGCAGGTGACAACAGTTGGTGCGATTATTCTCAAATTGAAGAAACACAAAAGAACTGTCAATCTCCCGCGACCTGGGGCTCCATGCAAGATCTTACCTCGTGGAGTTGCAATGATCATGAGAACGGTGAGGAATCAGCCCAGAACTACACGGGAGGATCTTGTCAATGATCTCAAGGCAGCTGGGACCATAGTCACCAAGAAAACAATTGGTAACACACTACGCCGTGAAGGACTGAAATCCTGCAGTGCCCGCAAGGTCCCCCTGCTCAAGAAAGCACATATACATGTCCGTCTGAAGTTTGCCAATGAACATCTGAATGATTCAGAGGACAACTGGGTGAAAGTGTTGTGGTCAGATGAGACCAACATGGAGCTCTTTGGCATCAACTCAACTCGCCGTGTTTGGAGGAGGAGGAATGCTGCCTATGACCCCATGAACACCATCCCCACCGTCAAACATGGAGGTGGAAACATTATGCTTTGGGGGTGTTTTTCTGCTAACGGGACAGGACAACTTCACCGCATCAAAGGGACGATGGACGGGGCCATGTACCGTCAAATTTTGGGTGAGAACCTCCTTCCCTCAGCCAGGGCATTGAAAATGGGTCGTGGATGGGTATTCCAGCATGACAATGACCCAAAACACACGGCCAAGGCAACAAAGGAGTGGCTCAAGAAGAAGCACATTAAGGTCCTGGAGGGGCCTAGCCAGTCTCCAGACCTTAATCCCATAGAACATTTGTGGAGGGAGCTGAAGGTTCGAGTTTCCAAACGTCAGCCTCGAAACCTTAATGATTTGGAGAAGATCTGCAAAGAGGAGTGGGACAAAATCCCTCCTGAGATGTGTGCAAACCTGGTGGCCAACTACAAGAAACGTCTGACCTCTGTGATTCCCAACAAGGGTTTTGCCACCAAGTACTAAGTCATCTTTTGCAGAGGGGTCAAATACTTATTTCCCTCATTAAAATGCAAATCAATTTATAACATTTTTGACATGCGTTTTTCTGGATTTTTGTTGTTGTTATTCTGTCTCTCACTGTTCAATAAACCTACCATTAAAATTATAGACTGATCATTTCTTTGTCAGTGGGCAAACGTACAAAATCAGCAGGGGATCAAATACTTTTTTCCCTCACTGTAAGCGATGCATCACGTACACAATTTAACTCGACGAATATTTACTTCAGTGGGATGGTAAGCGGCTTTCATTGTCTGTCGAATCTTGAAGAGCTGTGTCTGAAACTTGTAATACAGAGACTTAAAGTGAATTGCAGGGGTTCATGTTTCCCTGCCAACATTACAATAAATGTGTTGTTGAATACGGTACAACGTCGTATATCCAACTGCCTGAGGACTTACGTATAGGCGGATATATCAACAAGGTCGGACGTGTGAACATCTGTAGAAAATGGCATTTACTCCATGTGTACCTAAAGAACTGTATTTGTGGTTGATTGATAAGCGAGGACATGAAAAGATGTATGTATACCGAAGTGCATTCCAATTTTAAAGACTCGTTTAATATCCTTGGCGAAGAAAGCCAATCCATTGGTACTGTATTTTGTAAATAACCAATTCTGTGCAGAAGATTTCAGGTTGTGTACCCCTATAGATCAGGACATATTTTTGGGGACGTTATTGTGATCCGGAGTGATACAGTTGTTTTGTATGTTACCACTGCCGACATAAAAGGCGTTCAGAGTGAAGCTGTCCTTTGTTTTCTTGTGAAATATCCACAGTCCGCTGTGCATGCTCGAATTCCTGAGGTCAGTTATCTGTGCCTAGATGGTTATTGTGGTAAACAATAACAATACACTGAGTACATTTGTAATGGGGGAAGACCATTAAATTACCTTTGTCCCCTTGATTATCATTGTTGTATTCTGCCGTGCATTTTCTTGGTAGTGAAATCTGACATCAATGACATACTTTGGAAGCAAATGTAAAAGCTACTTGGATGTGGGTTCTGGTCAGAGGTGCAGCCACTGTGGGGTCCAACCAACCCCACAATGTTTAGATAGGGCTAAGAGACACCCATAAAATGTTGTGCCGTTGGTCAGCACACACACATGGACAACAAAGTCAGCTCACACACAGCGCACACACAATCACTCGCAGGAAACCAACAACTTTCAAATTTTGGCCGTGCATTTGATTCTGAAAGTTTACAATCTGACCATGCGATGTTAATTATGTGAATACAACTGTCATTTTACTTGTTAACCATTCAAAATTCCTTTGCATTCATTTAATATTGAAACGCGTAACGTCTTTCTCATTGCAAAAACTAATTAATTGGCACATAACAGAGTTTCCAAGACATTTCCTTCCTGTGACTCAGCCACCTGCCAGAGAATTTGAAGAGACGAACACACCCCGAAGTTATTTAACCAGGACAGTTGGCAATCCGGGTTAGATCCGGACAGGCTGCGAATTGGCTTCTGTGTGTGGGTGGCAGGACTTGATTTGTGCAGAAATCTGGTACAGGCATTGTGTTGAACTTTATTGCAGTAAACTGCACGGTTTGATATAGCTAGGCTAACGGAGAAATATATGTGGGTTTTGGTGTACAGTGGGAAAGGTGGTGACCCGAATAGAAACTAAAGCAATGAAATTCGTACTTTTAATTTAAACCAAATCACCGGTGTTCAACTCGGGGAAAACAAGTACCAGATGCACAATTTATATAATGGCATGGCCTGCCGAAAGTGATTCTGAATCGCGGCTCTAGCACAAATTCTCTTGCTGAAGCATTGTTAAAAGCCAGCCGATGAAATTTCATACCTTGTGAGGTTTTCATTTGACATGCGCATATATATTTCCAAATTGAAATGACATGCCTAGTGTTCGGTCATATTATGCATAAGCATGGCCCTTAAACACTTGATCTCATTTTAGTTTCTATTGCAACGTTAATTTACCCCGACGACAACACGTGCATTTTAATCTATTGCATAAACATTCCATATGCGAACGGTCGGCCTTGCTCCTCCGATATAGAGTTACGGATCACAATTATTGGAAAATAATCCGGTGTTTAAGCTTGCATTCCCACCGGAGGCTGCAGCCCATACAAGATGTATGAATACGAAGGCGCAATCGGTAGGGATTTGAAATTCACCCGATTCCTTTGTGAAGAGGCTTTGGAAACCAGGGGCTGAATTTAAAGCAGATTTCAATCATTCAGCACGGCAAAGAATGCAATGCCTGAGACAGCTCGCGCTTGGAATTTCCAGTTGATATCCTTTGAAAAATGCAATGACTATCGCTAACAATTGGCGACCATCACCATCAGCTAATGTACAATGCCTTACATCCGATTGTCGAGGGACTTTCTATAATTGTGAGTAATTATCATTTAAACAATGAATCAATAAAATGCCGTGAGTGAATGCCTTACCATCAGAGGTTTTATCACTGGGCAAAGTTTGCATGCAGCTGTAGGTTTAATCACAATTTCTGCAGGGAACACAATCTTCATTTGTACGTGCAATTCCAGGTGTCAATCTACCTCTCAATGCTTATTTGCACGCCTTTTAGCTGTTAATCCATTTTCGTCGTCAGTGGTTCTGTTTCTGATCAACGTGTCGTGGCATGTCATATGCAGTTGGTGAAAACATTCATAGGATTGTGCATTTCAAAATATCGATTTGCGGTTGTCATTACTGAGTCGTATGTCTTCCCAGGATCCTGCTAGAAATGTTTTAATCAGTTATCTTTCAAATATGTTTTTGAACTGCAGGAAATAAGAACACCGGGGAAATAATGGGATAACCTCAAATCACCCTTCATACTGTATATGCCAACAATCTGCTTGTTGTTATGCTTGCTATCGCTACCACTTTGCACCTCGTGTCAATGTCTCATCAATCACAACTTTCAAGTTTCTGGATTACAGTGGTGGACATCCAAATGTGATACGTGGATTAGGCTTCAGCTGAGACAAATGGCTTGCATTTCAGCAGCTATGGAAAGACTGCCTAGCCCATACACATTTCATAACAGCAGGAAACGTAATAATATCTTGACAGAGCGTACATAAATTTTGATTTAAAGCTTTCGTGATTGCAGTAATTCATATTCTTAGTTTTTTCGGTAAAGTCACGTTGAAGAGAAACAACAAAATAACAAAATATATATAAAACAATAAAAAATTCTCACGACGTTTCGACCATAACTCAAACGGTCATCAGGTGATGATGACGGTCATCAGGTGATGATGACCGTTTGAGTTATGGTCGAAACGTCGTGAGAATTTTTTATTGTTTTATATATATATCATCAGGTGATGATGACCGTTTGAGTTATGGTCGAAACGTCGTGAGAATTTTTTATTGTTTTATATATATTTTGTTATTTTGTTGTTTCTCTTCAACGTGACTTTACCGAAAAAACTAAGAATAAGAGCGTACATAGTTGCAGTTTAAGGTGCAGCTCTGCAATTAATTTTCTCATGCAACTGCTGGTGGAAGGGTCTCCACGAGA